CCGGAAAAGAATCGTAATTAGAGACTGATAAGTGATAAATGAGGTAATCTGCTCTTCCCTCCCGAAGAGATAGAAGTACTAACGATTTCTTAGCCTGTTCGAGAGATCGAGCGTGACCGAAATGGAACAGATCGTAGATCCCATCTGCGTAGACACGGACGGGGGGGTCAGACGGAGGCGAACTCTCGGTGACGGCTGGAGAGGCGGATGCGGCGAAGGTGGTGGAACGGCCGCCTCCGTTGGGATCGGCGGCGACGTTAGTCATATTCTCTCAAAGATTGCAAAATTCGCCCGCCTGGGAAAACGGGAAATTGCAAAGGTGCCAAAGTTCCTCTTTATTCTCTCTTAAGCAGTATTTTCCCGAGGAATATGCTCATGTGAAGGTGCAATTGCAATCAATGTTTTTGAAATTGAACCGAACCGGTTGGTCCGAGATTGGAAAAATATTACACCATAATTACTCTTGGTTTAGCAACAAAATCTAACCTTTACTCTCTGTTCTTGTTACCTTTTACTTTTAAACACCACAATTAGATAAATTAACAAGGGAAATTTTAACTACTAGTTAAGCTTCTTTTATTTTAAATGTTTGTCTTAATTTTATTCATATTCATATTCATACTGGAACTGATGGTATGAAATTAAATTTCTTTAACAGGTTTGGTATCTCTATTTAGTTTAAAGATCAGAAAACTGTAACCACTGATCTCCATCAACAAAAGTTGTGTTAATGAATTGAGAAATTTGAGTGTCATTAAGCTTCTGAACATACGGTGCCCTCTTTGAGATATCAGCTCCCGGTCCCGAACAATTGTACTCACCATAAAATATTGTCCTAAACCAAAACACACACACCAAAAATAACGTATCTCTAGTATTAAACAACTTTCCTTGAGAAAAAAAAAAAAATCTAGTATGTGTGTGTGTGCTTACGTGTCCCTAGAGGGATCGTTGAAGTCGTTCCAGCCTTCGGGTGCGATAACATCGGTCATGGAAGTTGAGACGAAGATGACACGTGAGTACGGCCTCCAGGCACGACCGAGCCACACGTGTCCAGTGCCGCCTATTGAGCAGTTGACGAAGGAGAAGCCACTGTTCTCGTCCTTTGAGTTACGGCCGTTTGCAGTCACGGCTCCGTTGACCGCCTTTGACCCTGGGCTCACTTGGTTCGCCATTGATATTATTTGACAGTCCTATACTAGTGCAAAACTTATCATGTAACCGAATCAAATCTTAACTTGAACCTAAACCCGAAAATATATGCCCCAGTTGTATGATCATGTACGTAAGTGTACCTTGGAAAATATAAGGTCAGAATGTAAAAATGTATACGTACCTGGTAGAGAGATTTGGCGTTGCCGAAGATGAAATCGATGGAGCCTTGAATGTAGCAATCCTTGAAGTAGTGACGACCTCTATCGTCATGAAGAGTGTCTTGAGCTCCAAAGAAACCACATCCCACAAACGCAGATTCATCTCCCGCTATTCTTATCGCCACCGCTTGAGCTCCTACGTCTCCTGGCTTCGGTATCGGGGCCACGTTCTGTCGCAAAATATATATCAACGGCTAAAGTTTAATACGGGTTAATCTAACTGAACCGTACCCAAAAAGTTCTAGCCATATTATCTAAGTATGGTAATTGCTTTTAACGAGGTTTTAAATTACCATGAAACTAATGTTTTTAGCAACGAACTGAGAACTAAAGATTTGGACCGAGGCACAATAAAAAGTGCCGTTAGCCGAGTAGGCCGTATCGTTCCACGCTATGGCCGTTGTCTCGAACCCTTGTCCTTGCAACGTTATGTTTGGTTTAGTCTTTGGAATCAGCACCTTCTCACTGCCACATGATATACTCATATCTAATTTTACTAATAGTTTTGGTACGTAGATATATTTTATGATAATAATAATGACGTTGGAAGAAAAATCTAGACATGGTCATTATTAAACATACTAGTACATGCCGGAGTTGATCCAAATCACGTTCCTTCTCTGACTAAAATTTTCGATTGCGTCCACGGCTGATTGCACCGTTGTGAAATTGCAGCAACCTTTTTTATCCACGCATAAATAGGACGTCGTGTTGGTGTCTGGTGGAGGTATATCTTTTGGGAAATCGTCACATACTGATACCTTTTTTTTAGTATCAGATGGTTTTTGATGGTGATGATGATGATGGTGGTGGCTGCAAATAGAACTAATAGCTGCATATGATATTGCTTTGATACCATGCAAAATATCAAGAGGAGTGTGCATAAAGGCTCTAGGAGGTGTGTTAAATAGAGATTTGGATGCTATAATGGCTACTATGGCAATGCCCATAGATAGAGTTAATGAAATTCTTCTAGGTTTCATTTTTTTCGCATAAATGATATTTGGAAAACAGAATAATATTTGGAAAAAAATTGGTTGGTTGTTTTATGGATTTGAGAGGGAAATGGTAAAAGGAAATGAATAGGAGAATGCAAAATTGACATTGATTTATACTAACTAAAGGGAAACATGAAATTGCATGAAGTGTAAGGATTTGTTGGAATGCCTTGCAAATTACCCTTTTTTTCTAATCTTTGCTTTCTTAAAATATTAAACAATCTCGATCGACCTACCAAAAAGGCTCATAACTTATACAAGAAACATTAGAACAAATTTTTGTAGATAAGTTATAGAACTGTATTTGCTTCGTAATAATTTTTCTAGGTTTACTCTATCTCTTCCACTAAAAAGAAGCTTACTTTATCTTTAACTTTAAATCATTTAAATTTTATAATTAAGTGGTTGTTTGTAGTCAGGTAATACTAAATTTAAAAATGATGATTCTTTGTTTATAAACTTTGTTCCCTCAAGGTGGGTTCTCCATAGCGGACTCATTTTACAATAGCCAAATCTTACATCCCCTTCAGAATAGTCGCTTTTCTCTAAATTTTGTAGATAAGTTATATTTGCTTCCAAATAATTTTTTAAGGTTTATTTTATATATCTTCAAACATAAAGAAAGGTTTTAGAAAGAAAAAAAAAAACCGTTTCAACAATGAATATTTTGAATGATTTTGACCAAAAAAAAAAATCATGTTGGTTGCAGAAAATCTTGGTTTGGAATGATGGGATGAGATGAATATTTAACAATGAACCATATAAACCGGAATCGGACCATCGAATCAAACCCAAACCGTAATACGGGAACAACCGAAAGAAGGGGTGGGATGGTAATTTAGACAAGTCATCCGCCGGAGTTGCCTTTTCAAAAATACAAAGGGAGAGAGACCTAATTGCTGCTAAACAAATAAAAGAGAAAAAAAAGACTCTCTCTCTCCCATTGACATCTTTTCATCTTCTTCTCTTTATGCATTTTCCTACTTACATTTCGAACTTTAAGATTAAACCCCAAAAGTAAAAAAAAAAAAAAACAGAGAAAGAAGAAAACAGATTCAGCAGTTTCACGTAAGCATATCATATCCACCTCTCTTTTTTTTTTTTTTTTTTTTTTCCGTGGAGTTGTTCTTTGATCTGGCTAATTGTATCTTGATTTTATTACTGGACTTGATCGATCCCTAGTTACCTAGAAGAATTAGCTGTTATGATGTGCGCTTCTTCGTTCTCATTTCTTTGAAATGATTTCGTTTTTTCTTTTTTTTTTGGAATTGTGATCGGTCGTCTCTCTGTATCTGATAGCTATCGCCATACATTCGACTTAGGATTTCAATCGATCAATGGATCGATCATCTTCAAGTAGTAATGTACAAACTCAAGTTATATTTGAATGTCTTTGATATTCAATCTTTGATTATACCCGATTAATTTTCCCTAAAAGCATAATTAGATCGTAATTTTAATAAATGTGGCAGTAAGTCTTTTGATGTTATTTATTTCAAGAATTAGGTTTTACCTGCAACTTTCAAGAGATGTCTTTATCTATAGATAGATAGCGTCTAGAAATATAGGTTAATGATTACAATTTCTTAAATCCATCGAATATTCTTTGGTTACCTCGTCTCAAGCCCGGTTTAGCCTGATTTAATGTAGTATAAAAGATGAATTTTGTCAGTTTGATGAAATGTTCTTTTCCTCGCAGTTTGTAAACTAGCCGGGATTTTGTGTTTAACCAAAATTGACATGAGATTTAATACGTACGAATGATATTTTTATATAAAAAAATAAGCTACTGAAATGTCGAATTTGGATCAGATCTTCTTTCAGTCTATAAGCATAATTAAAATAATAAGAAAAGAACTATAAGCAATGGCGACCAGATGCAGAGTGATGACATAAGTATAATCACATCTTATTCACGATAAATACATCCATATTCGTTAATTTATAATTATTGACAAAAGGCCTTTGTTAACTTGTAATCCTTTCCCCCAAAAAGGTTCAATGAATCTTGAACAGTGCGTCAATGTCAAATGATCACATAATTGAATGTTTTATGCTGAATATGATATGATCTTTAAATATTCAGCTTATGAAGACAGAAACATACAGTTGGTTTACAATTTCTGTTTGGAGTATGGTCACATTGTAAACCAAATTAAACTCTGGTGGTGGCCAGACGTTGACCTTTATTTGGAGATCTCCCAAGCCTTTAATTTTTTTTGTTTTTGTTTTTAAAGAATGTTAGGTGGCAATAATAAATCTACCATTGAATTGAACATATTTTTGATAATCAAATTGCCAATTGGAGCAAGAAATGATGTATGCCTCTGGACGGTCTTATCTTCTCTGTTATTTTATAGTTTCTGAGAATTTGGTTTCTCTTTCTTACAAGTTAGGACTTTCTTTTTTCTTTTATTTAAAAAAATGAAACTGTTACGGCTTGATTGTTCAACTGAAACTGATCATCTTTCTTGTTGACGCAAGAAATAAAACATGGTGATTACGAGACATTGACGTTCAACATCTCTCGTTCATACAAAAAAATATATACTCATTAACACCATTTTAAACCTTTAATTTTTAATCGGTTACAGAACAGAAAGCAAATAGGAATTGCTTGATTATAGTTATGGAAGAATCAACAAAAGTTTGTTCCGAGGTCCCTGAGGATCTAAAGACGGTCGATGTTTCTGTTAAGGTAAATTGCTCTGTTTTCTCAAAAAGCTTTGTGTATCATTATTGATTAAAGATATGGCAAATGAAGATTTTAGTTCTAAACATGGCTTTAAGTAAGATTGAATCTATCAACTGTTTTTTTTTTTAGTATAGTGACGGTTTATTGCAGGATGTGAATAAAGAAGCAAGAAAGGAAGATAAAGTTATGGAGAAAGAAGAAGAAGATACTACATTTGATGGTGGATTCGTAAAAGTTGAGAAAGAAGGGATTGACACTAAGGATTATGAGAAGGCAGAGAAGCAAGTTCCAATCGAAACAAGATCTCGGCTCGAAGAAGAGTTGTTGGCTCTTGAAGATCTCAAGGGTAAAGTCTCTGAGCAAGAAAGCATTAATCTAAAGCTAAGGGAAGAACTCAAAGAGAAGGATTTGCTCCATGCCTTATCCAAAGACCAAGAAGGTAAAATCAGAAGTGCGAACGAGAAGTTGACCGAGGTGTTGAAAGAAAAACAAGTTCTTGAAACATCTGTGGCAGAGATCACTGGTCAAGCAGCTAAAACGAAGGAGATGTGCGATAAACTCGGAGAGAAACTGAAGATAATGGATGAAAATTTCTCCAAGACAGATGCACTGCTATCTCAAGCCTTGTCCAACAACTCTGATCTTGAAGACAAACTGAAATCTATGGAGGAATCATCTAAGGAAGTAACTGAACTAAAATCTGCTTTGCTGGTCGCCGAAGAGGAAGAGAAAAAGTTGAATAGTCAGATGCGTGAATACCAAGAAAAGGTAACTAAACTCGATTCTTCTCTGAACCAATCATCGGCGAGAATCTCAGAGCTTGAAGAAGATTTGAGAACTGCTTTGCAGAAAGGTGCAGATCATGAAGATCTTGGAAATTTGAGTACTCAGCGCAGCGTTGAACTAGAAGCTCTGTTCCGAACATCGCAGTCAAAACTAGAGAAAGCAGAGGAAAAACTGAAAGACTTGGAGGCATTCCAAGTGAAAAGCTCGAGTCTTGAAGCTGCTTTAAGCGTTGCAAGAGAGAAAGAGAGGGAGTTGTCAGAAAATATGAATGCTGTGATGGACGAGAAGAAAGCGGCAATGGAGGAATTCGTTAGCAGAGATACAGAGGCCAAGTCATTGACAGAGAAATCGAAAGATCTCGAGGAGAGGATAAGGCTATATGAAGAGAAGTTGGCTGAGGCATCTGCTCACTCGTTTTCTTTGAAAGAAGAACTCGATCAGTCTTCCTTGGAGAACGAGTTACTAGCAGATACAAACAACCAGCTCAAGACCAAGATTCAAGAACTTGAAGGATATCTGGATTCTGAGAAGGAAACCGCCACTAGACAGACTGAAGAAGCAACGAAAAAGTTTAATCAGAGAGACATAGAAGCTAAAGACTTGATTACAAAGCTGAAATCTCACGAGAACCTAATCGAGGAGCATAAGAGGCAAGTTATTGAAGCATCTGGAGTTGCTGATACTAGAAAGATGGAGCTTGAAGAGGCTTTATCTAAACTCAAGACTTTCGAAGTTACAATCAAAGAGCTTGAGAAAGAAAACGGATCTTTGGCTGAGGTGAATTTAAAGCTGAACGAGGAACTAGCCAGTCATGGGTCAGAGACCAGAGATTTTCAGGCAATGTTCTCTGCATTAGAGGCTGAAAAAGACCAAACAGCAAAAGAGCTTCAGGTTTCAAAGGCAACCATAGAAGAACTAACAAATCAGCTTACTTCTGAAGGAGAAAGATTACGTTCACAGGTAGAGAGACATTCTTAGAATGCATTACTGATAAACCATCTTAAGAAAAGACTTAAACTCTTTTCTGTTTTAGATTTCTTCCCTTGCAGAAGAAAATAACCAAGTGAATGAGATATATCAGAGCACTAAGAGTGAGCTCGTAAAGCTTCAAGAACAACTCGAAGCAGAGAAATCTAAGTCCGATGCTATGGTATCCGAAATCAAGAATCTCAGTGCTGTGGCTGCTGAAAAGTCGGTGTTGGAGTCAAACTTTGAAGAAGTTGAAAAACAGTTGAAAAACACTGAAGCTCTGTTGAAAGAAGAGGTAACAATTATTCACTACTTTGGGGAAACATTTTTAGGAATACTTTTTCAGTAGTTGATGATGTTTGTTGGGGGTTTTTTTCTGGCCAGGTCAAAAAAGTTGAAGAATTGACCTTAAAATTGCATGAACATGAACATAAGGCGAGTGTTCATAAAGAGCTTCAAGCTTCTCACGCAGTCATTTCTGAAGAGGTAAATGAATCTTTCTTGTTTCTTCTTCTTACTTCAGAAAGCCGTTTCGGATTTCTTGCAAGCTCCTGAGTCTTTTGTGGCTGAAACAGAAAGAAGCGGTTTCTCAGAAGTATTCGGAATTGGAAGCTATTTTGAAGAAGTCACAAGAAGAGCTTGAAGCTAAGAAAAGTATGATCCTTCATCTCGAATCACTGTTAAAAGATCTTGAACAGAATGTGCAGCTTGCAGATGCTAAATCTAAGGTCAGTCATCGATACAAAACCGCATTTCCATCAACTTACTTGTTTCTTTAGCAGACAGTCGTCGAAAAAATGCTCTGTTTATGTAGAAACCAAACTTGCAGGAGGAAACCGAGTGTAAGTCAAAAGGAGAAGTAGAAGTTACATCTCGTGACATTGACTTCTCTTTCACATCTCCAACGCAACGTAAGAACAAGAAGACCCTAGATGCTTCTTCTTCAGGAAATGTTACAATGCAGAAAGCTGAAAAATCATCACATCTCACCACATTGAAGATCATCCTTGGAGTGGCTCTTGTGTCTATCATTATAGGTATATTTCTTGGGAAAAAGTATTAAAACTCTTATTGTGTGATTGTTTTATATTATATGAAAAGATTTCTTGTGGTAGGGGGCGTTTAAAAGATTTGTTTTCTTGTGTTTTGAGTGTAGTGCTGTTGTTTTTACCATCCTTTTTTTTTAATTTCTTGTTGCCAAATGTTGCAATATCAACACAACAATCTGATCAGTATATCTACATTGTTAAGATAGTTGATCGAAATAGAAAAAAAAGGAAAATTCTTTGATAAATGTAAAACCATCCAAATTCGGTACCGTACTGTGAACAACTAATAAGTAAAAATCAATTAATCAGAAAAGGAAGTTTTAAGGAAAAGGAAATAAAGCGTAAAAATGTAACTCAATGAAAAATGGAAAAAAATGAAAACAACGATATTAAATGTTTCGGGTATATATAGGAGGAGGCATCGCTCAATTTCAACACCGATCAGATTGATATCAAATCAAAACTAAAACCATGGAGAATCACACTACTCCTCCTCCTCCCTATGAATTGAAACTCGAGCATACTCTCAAACACCAACCAGAAGCGAAAGATTTCATTATCGATGTTGATGGCACGATTTTCCGAAAAGGGTCGTCTTCTCCCTTAGAAGAGATCTTCTTCTCCTCCAAGGTAGATGATTTCATCTGGGAAGACGAAGATTGTCCAGAGAAAGTGGAACTCTACGAAATACTCGTCGATGCTGGAGTAGACGAATACGAGGCTAACATTTTGCTTATCAACACTATTCGGTACGTTTGTGACAACTCACCACCGGATGATGAGGACTACAAAGGAGTCTTCACGCTGACGATGGAAGTCACGCTACCACCGGAACCGGTCGAGCTTAACCATGCCGGTTCGGAGCAAACTCAATCCCAAGAACCAATTGCCACGACGACGACCAAGACGAGCGAGCAACAGAGACACTGGTTAAAACCTAAACCAAAAATACAAAAGGCCCGGTACAAAATTGGGGCTGACGGCGCGTCACTGGTCCTTTCAGAGCTTGAACCATGTGACCAGTAGGGTTTGTTACTTGGAAGACAGGAATAGAAGCAACGACTGCTAGGGTTTTGTTGTTTAATCGTTTTTTTTTGTTTCATTGTTAACAATATTGGATTTAGTGTTGGCAATTCAATTGAATGTTAACCCTAATTTTTTACTCATCTAATGCTTTCATACGGCGTCGTTTGGATTGACAAATCAACTGTCGATTAATATATATAAATCAACCAAAAATTCTACTCCTATATCCTTTGATTGATATAAACTCTCCGTTGATTAACGATACAACTCCCATTAGCAAGAGAATAAAATTTTAAATAACAGAGATTAAAGATTAAAAATTAAAATATGTTCGAATAAAAAAAAACCACAAAGTCTTACAAGAAAATAATAAACCAAGAATATAAATTTTTTTACAATAAGGCTAGAGAGAATAAATAAATCACATCACAGTCACACAACTCGTCGTAAAAAAAAGAAACCATTCCAATGTTATTGTAACTCCTTAGAAGCAGATGTCCAGGGCACAACAGCAACACATGGCCGCAAGACTACAAACAAAAATTCCAAATATGAAAATTAAAAGTTAGTAAGAAAAAAATTGCTATTTAGGCTTATCGCATCGGCCCACCAAATCCAATAATTTATACAGACGCATAGTAATTTCATGAAAATTCCTTACCAGCCTTTAAAGAAGCCGTCACCTTTAGATTTGGTCTCGACTTTAACAGGAGCCACCGAGCCATGACTCGGGTCGCTCGTCGGGTAACCAATTGGCGGTTGCGGCGCTGGACCGGTTGACATCGTTGGTGGAGAGTTAGCTCCTACGTTTCATAATATATCTCATCAGTAAAACACAGAATATCTATAGACTTTACAAATCTCTTTTTAAGATAACCAAAATAAGCTTTTAAGAAATACAAGAAAACTTTTCCTACCTGCAGATTGGTTGTGATTGTACTGGCTCATCTTAGAACGATTAATGTAAAGAACTTGATATAAGGCAAGGTTTTATGTGTGTATGTGTAATCGTGTGTAGATGTCTTTTTGTATGGATCAAGAATGTTTTTGATCTTTGAATATCTTTTACAAATGCGTGTGTATGTAAAATATATATAGGGAGAGATGAAGGAAAGGGAGAAGGTCGGTTTTTGAGGACCGCGTGGAGGATAGAACATTCGTGTCGTCTACCTATCACCAGCATATGTTCAAAGTTTTCAACTTATTATTTATTTTATAATTAAACAATTATTAGTGAGTCAATCAAACTCTTATTTAAATATAAATTATTTCTGTAAAGTAATGTGGACAAATCCAGATGAAAAGCGTGGTACGACACGTGTCATATTTATTTTTCACTCGACCGTGTTTTGTTGAATTCTGAGAAAACGACATGAAGCTTCTTTTCTTGCTTTGTTGGATGGATAACATGAAATAAAAAAAATTACTAAACTATTTAACCAAAGATTAGTTGGTCTACTTTGACAAAAAAACAAAAAATATTTAATTGGTCTAAGTTAACTAGATTAACAGACAAACTAAAAATTTATAACAAACGTTTTCGATCCAAACGATGACTATGGAAAATAAGGGAGACAATCTTTTATATAATTCTCTACAACTTATGTTTTTACAAAAAAAAATATAGAGAAATTTCATTTTTCTTTTTATATCCGCAAATAGATATTTTTACATCCAATTAGTAAGTAAAAAGGAAAAAAAGGTTTTTAGTAAAAATTCAAAATGTAAAACCTTTAACAAATAGAAAAGAAATAATGTGAGGGAATTTCTCCTACGTTTTATAGAAAAGAAAGTAATGTAATGTAAGGGACACAATTTTTTTTGCTTACACAATTGCATTTGAAGCCTCTTTCAAGTAAAAATTGCTAAACAACTATATCCTGTGTCTCCCATAAAGACTCAAGCAGCATTAAGAGCTTCGAGCTGCTTCTTCAGATCTTCAAGGTCATCCTCCTCCTCTGCCTCTCCAGAACCTATAGCTATTCCTTTCTCATACTCATCTGCCACTGGAAGCTCCCGAGTAAGCCCTTCGGGCAATGTATCTATACAACACACAAATCGATTTAGATAATAATTGTCAGACGAAGAAGAAGAAGACTAAAACTTGATACACTTCCACATAAATAGTACAGAGACTCAAGCTGAATATACCTGAACTTGAGGAAGCTTTTGTAGTATCCTTCTCATTTTCATCGTCGACCACACTTATTAAAAGACATGAGATACACATCAGATTTCTTGTTGTAAATACGGTTGAAAAGAGAAATCTATGATCCAAATGATACGAATTTGATTTTTAACTATTTCACCGAGTTGTTACCTTATGTTCCACTCATTATCATCGTGGACTGGACCATCATCCGTAACTGTTAATGCATCAGCTTCCATCTTTGCTTTAGCGGCAGCATCCCTTGCTGGTTTTGCAAGCATGTATTCTTTCTGCATTTTGAAAATTTCCAGTTTTTTGTTTACCGGAACATGCAAACAAAGGCGCAAAACAAAGATGAGCTGAGAGAGTTCAGTAGCTGATTTTACTCAAGTTACCTGGCGCTCCAGACAAACTCCATTCGAGCACTGTGGATTTGGTCTCATTTGCATGGTTGGGAAAAAATCCTTCAGTGAATTGTATCCCTGTGTTAAACATGTAGCAGAGTTATAAAAACGAGTAAACGTTAGGTGATTCATATATGATAATGTTTCTGTGATGAATCATCAAGTGTTTTGTGTTATGCATGAGAAGAAGAAAAGTGTGAGGAGTGCTGGAGGAAACTAAGAGTTTTTCTTACCAAGTATGGAGAAACTTCACCAAAGTTTAGCAAGAACTTGAGAGAGTTTTGAACCAAGAGCCCCGCAACGACACCCTGATTGACAATCAAACAAGAGTCTTAGTTATAACATAGGCTGAGCTTAAGTAAACAAAAGCTTTGGGTTACAAAGATGACAACTAGTCAACAAGATACCCAAATTTAGTTCAACGGTACTGTAAGGTGGTAGAAAATTACCATAGTAGTAGGCAGAGATGCAGCACAGACCCCTTCTCGCTTAAGTGTCCGTTCATCAATTCCAGATGCCACGACCTACCAGAGAAACAGAGAGATTCTTTAAAGGGGATGTTAGTGTAGTTTTTACAGCCCCTTGGATCCATTCCTCAAGCATTAAGGCAGAGTATGGTAGGCTAAGAGTTGTACGAGTTAAAAAGAAAATACCAGAGGAGGTGCACAAGCAAAACAAGCAGTTTCTCCGGGAACCAGAAGCTGTATGTGGCCTGAAACAGCATCTTCGGAAACACCTGCACAAAATATAAAACGCTCAGAAGCTTAATTTCATTTTTTTTTTTTACTTTGTTGTGTATAAACTGCCAAAAATCATAAATGGATGACTGATCCAGCAGCATCGGTGAACTGTAAACAGACAAGACTGCTGCAAAATATGACAAAATCCATTTTGTGCATACTAGCCACATGGACACGCAAGTTCATAGGCTGCTTCCAATGTTACATATAATTATAAGCTTTTCATACTATATACCTGACTCCATCCACGTCTGGCTTAGCTCATTGCATGCCTGTACATCAAAGGATAAACTCAAATCAGAAGCTGGTCTAGAACATTTATCTATCTACTCCAGTCACAAGCACAATCAAATGTTGAAACTAACTAAATCATGCACAAGCGTAAGATCAAAATGGTTGAAAGTGAAGTAAAAACTTTGAGGAATTTGTAACAAAAAGAAGGCTCCTTTCTCGAGCAAGAAGTAACAGTTACCTGGTTTACTGCCATTCTTGCTTCATAGTTATCGACACAGCTCAAAACAAGATCCACACCACTGCCCTCCTTGTTAGGACAAAATGACTTGTTCTTCAAGCTCGACGCAAAGGTTTCAAAGCCTTGCACTGTTGTTATGTTCATTGTGAAACTCTAGAGAAACAAAAATAAGTAAAATGACCATTACACGACCATTAAACTAGATTAACTAATACCAAATGTATTCAACCTCCGTCAAATAAGTGATCAGGTAGAAAACATACCTCAAGTACAACGTCAGGGTTAATTTCTGCAAGGGTCTGGACAGCAGCATCAGTCTTTGTCATACCGACCTACAGAGACCATTATTCAGAGCTCAGACACAAAGTCTCCATCAGATTAGAGACAGATAAGTGCATCGGGCAGACAATACTAACTAAATGAAAAAAGAGATATTGCAAATTCAATGAGAATACAGTCTCTCTACCTGATCAGGTCGAAAAAACAGCCTGTTCATGTTAGCTAGTTCCACTGTGTCATAATCATACAACAAAAGACGGCCAATACCACATCGGGTCAACATTTCAGCCGCAACACTTCCAACACCACCAATTCCCTGTCATTTAAATAACCACCCTTGTACAGATGAATGAATGAACAACCTTATAGCTAAACAATATTTTGTATAGCAGTGGGAAAAAAAAAACAGAAACAAGGAGAGAAATACATACAACTATGGCGACTGAAAACTCTCGTATTCTCTCATAGTTCTCCACAATACCCATCCGCTGAAGCGCCATGAGCCTACTGTAAGGATTACTATCTACCACTTCCGAACTTAGTTCCTGCAAAAGGAAACCCCTTGATATCATATCGTTTTACATAAGATTACCAGCTTAAATTAGAAGAATCTGAAAATACAATGCAGACCTTGACTTTGGAACGCCGGTGAGGATTAGATTTAGACAGGGTCGCTATATTTTCAACATGTGATCGCAGCTGCAGAGCATAGGAGACAATTCGATAATCGAAGCGTCAATTGAATACATGGAACTACATCCAGAAACATAAGCAATGCAACAACAAAAGCTTTGACATTTCACAAATATGCAGCAATGGAAAGCAAAAAGCCCATCAAGATAAAATGCCAATCAGGAGGGTCCAGCGCCAGATCAATTCAAGGACCACTCGTAATCACCAATGCATGAGAAAATTAACTTCTTTCGAGTTTAAGGGGAGAAAAAATCAGAATCAGAACGAAATCATAATCAATTGCCACACAAAAGAGATCGCAATTTCAGTCTTAATTCTCGACGAAAAACCAGAATTGGAAGAAATTCTCAACCAAACAGCTCACGAGATTAAAAGGAAGAAGAGATCAGAAGCAAAACCCAAACCTTGTGGATCGGAGCTGGATCGGAGAGAGACTTCTCGAGAACATCGAGATCATCGAGCATTGCTTTGAATTCAGACTCCATTCCAACTCTTGTAAGATAAAGCGAAGAGCCGAAAGTGATGTGGAAGATCTGGCTTAGAATATGCGACGCTGATTTGAGAAACTCGAACGGATTTCGAAGAGAGACAGGAAGTGTATGCAGTGCAAAGGGGTTTAAAGACAAAAGCGTTATTATTAATCCCACAAAGGAAAAAACAGAACAGAAAAGTTGACCGAGATTACAAGGAAAGAACATAAAAATGAGCCGGTCTGCTTTAGTATTGTTCATCAAACTGGGCCTTAAACGTAGCCCATTTAATCTTTCTAATCGGCCCATAAAAGAAACGAGTCTACATCATGATCCATGGAAACGCCTCTAGAAATCAGTTTGCTAAATAACCGGTAAACCGACTATTACCGGTTATCCCGTCCCAGTTTGTAGTGGGAAACAAAATCTTGCATTATTTTGGACAGGGTCTCATATTCTGAGTTGCAACTCAGGGATTATGCTGATTCTGGATAGGCAGCTTCACCGTCTCAACTCATCCTCTGCGGAAGGAGAACACGTGAGTCTTGCTGCAGCAGTTGGTGAGATATAGTATGGTTAACTAACTTCTTGCTGATGATGTGTTAAGTCAGACAATGTCACGTGGAAACAGATGTTCGTTCACCAAATGAACTTTCTATGCATTTTCTTCTCTCTTTTTTTCTAAATCATTCCACTGACACGGAAGCATGTTTAAGCAAGTTCAGTTTTCATGGTTTTCAGTTTTTTATAAAACGTGGTGTGTGTGTATCACTGAATTTTAGAAAAACGCAAACTCAGTCAAAACTACTATAAAATAATGTAACAGTAATTTCCTTTTTTCTTGAAAAAGTGTTTTTCCTTTTTGGAATTTCCTTGTTTGAAAGGCGGTCAAAAAATCAGGTTTATATTCGCATTCCCATGTTGTTGAAACAAATGTAACAGTAATTTCCTTTTTTTTCTTGGAAAAAAGTGTTTTTCCTTTTTCGAATTTCCTTGTTTCAAAAAACTCAGGTTTATATATATATATATATATATAATAAAGAGGTCCTAGTTAATTTGTTAGTGATATCTCTCATAACTGTTTAAATCATCAAAACAGAGAGTTATATTTTTGCTTTTTTTTCTGGGAGTTTTGCGAAACCTAGGGTTTTCTGACAGCATCCGTTTCTTTCAGGTTCGTCCCGAATCTCAAATAGTGCCTATATAGATCTGTTGTTGGAATATAACCTTGAAATCCAAAATCTTAATTCGTTGGCTTTGGTGGATGATATGATTTCTGTCTGTTTGATAATGATTTCTTCTTAGGAAACAAAATCCTAAGTTTTTCTTTTGACATATATATATATATATATAGGGTGAGGCGATGGCGATGGAAGCAGCAGGAAGGGCGAGGGCGTGGTTTCTTAGATTAGGGCCCGATTTTGGAGAAGCAGCCGAGATCTCTGGTCCACTTGTGCAGTTGATAGAGGCTAGCTTGAACAGACCAGATTTGAAGCTCTTAAATTTTGATGCACGTATAGATATGGGGACAAGAGTGGCGATACTTGGTCCTAACGGAGCTGCAAAGTCCACTCTTCTGAATCTTGTTGCGGGAGATTTAGTTCCGACTGAGGGTGAAGTGAGAAGAGGCGAGAAGCTGAGGATCGGCAGGTACTCTCAGCACTTTGTTGACCAATTACCATGGTGGAAAAGCCCACTTGATTATCTTCTTGGTCTTATTACTGACGAAGAGGAGCGGCGTAAACATTGCGTGGTGGCTACGAAACTGCTGAGGTTTGGGATACCATATTCAGACCAAAACCGTCACTTTGGATCTACGTCTGCAGGACACAAGGCTAAGGCTGTTTTAGCCTCCATCTCGATTTCCAACCCACACATTTTGCTTCTTGACGAGCCAACTAATCACCTAGACATGCCCACTATAGATGCCTTGGCGAAATCACTTTGCTGGTTCAAAGGAGGAGTTGTGCTGGTCAGTCACGACTCCAGGCTCGTATCGCAAGTCTGTCACAAAGAGGGCAAGAGCCAGATTTGGGTTGTACAAGACGACGGAACAGTGACTCTCTTCCCAGGCACTTTTAATGACTACCAAAAGAGCCAAGGAGAGGTTGACGAGAGTTACTAAGCTGAACTCAAGCTCATTGCCCTCTTCAATTATCTCTCCAATCTATTACGATTGTCATCTTTCGTTTTGTTTTATTATTATTGTTAGTATCCTCTCTGTCACCTTTTCATTCTTCAGGAAGTTCAAAGAATGAAAAGTTTGCTTCATCTCTAAACACATATTCTTCCTGCCAATTATGTGCTTTGTTTTTATTGTGTTTCTTTTTTTGGTTGGTTTTGAGATTTATTTTGATTTATTATTTGTTACTATATGACTATATAATTATTTGATAGTCCAAGTTCAAAGAATGAAAAGTTTACTTGAATTTATTCATTTGCAACTTGAGTTTTGTTCCTCAAATCGTTAACTTGCAATACTGCTCAGAAGCAAAACCCAAACCTTGTGAATCGGAGCTGGATCGGAGAGAGATTTCTCGAGAACATCGAGATCATCGAGCGTTGCTTTGAATTCAGACTCCATTCCAACTCTTGTAAGATAAAGCGAAGGCCCACAAAGGAAAAAAACAGAACAGAAAAGTTGACCGAGATTACAAGGAAAGAACATTAAAATGAGCCGGTCTGCTTTAGTATTGTTCATCAAACTGGGCCTTAAACGTAGCCCATGTAATAGTTCTAATCGGCCCATAAAAGAAACGAGTCTACATCATGATCCATGGAAACGCCTCTAGAAGTCAGTTTGATAAATAACCGGTAAACCGACTTGACCGGTTATCCCATCCCAGTTTGTAGTGGGAAACGAAGAACCAATGGAATTCGGCACATCCAACAAAACGGGAACCTGGTTTTTGGTCGCGCACCGTAAACATAGGAGAAGCAAAAGATATCTCTACTTTCCTCATCGAGATCGAGATTGATCGATCCAATTTCGATTTCCATCGAAACAAAAGCTTCAGACTCAATAATGTTCATCTGATTTCTCTATCGCGTAGCATCAGAGACCAGTTTCAGCAGAACTCGACAAAGTTGCATCTGAAAATTCGTTTGCATCATTCATCACTCCTCGGGTTTATTGATTCGTAGCATGCGAAGGAAAGATGGGTTCTGGAAAACGAGCATCTTCTAGAAATCCAGCCGTCGTCTCAGGTGCCCTTCCCTCATTCTCGTTCCGAAAAATTTCAAACTTTTTATCAAAGTTTACTCTTTTTTCCTGTAATTGCTGCGTTGAGCTGTCTTTAATCGATGCATACATCTGTTGATATATATATATATATATATATATATCCGATTGATATGATTAGACAGAAATCATCGGCGTTTGATTGATTTCGTGAGTTTTGAGTGTTTGTATAAACGACTAAATAGCTCTATGGGTTTTGCAGGGTTGCGTGAAAAGCATCAAGAGGATCTAGAAAAACTGACATTGACCTCACAGCCATTCAAAACCTTCAAATTCTTTGTTGCTGCTGTTTTGTTATATCTGAGGAGATCCACCTCCTACCTTCTTGCAAATGGTGGCTGGCTTCTGCTCTTTACTAGCGTTCTTGTCGCGTTTTCAGCTATCCTTGTGACCGTAGATGGCCCACATGTCAAGGTAAACAGATTGAGACTGTTGCTGTACGTAGCACATATACTGCTTCTGAATTTGGGAATAACAACAACATATCAAAAGTCATGAGTGATGATGATCAAATATATCTTTCTGTTTCCCTAGTTTATCAGCTTCTCTTTGCTGAACTACGTTATTTAGACGAAGGAAATGGTAATATCTCCTAGTTTTCTCCACGTGCAGCACCTTGAAGAACTGTCTGAGTACGTCAGATTTGGACTATGGTGGATTTTTCTAGGTGTTGCATCATCAATTGGTCTTGGTAAGAATATGTTTTGCTCCCTCGAAGAATTGCTTCTTTACTTTTCTGCTAATCACATGGCCGAAACGTTTTGATGAATACACTAACATACTCTTCTTTTCTCCTTGATTGATGATTATTCCAGGATCTGGTTTGCATACATTTGTTCTGTATTTGGGTCCTCATATCGCTTTGTTCACCATAAAAGCAATGACCTGCGGGCGGGTTGATTTGAAAAGCGCTATATATGACACAATCCAGTTGAAGAGAAGCCCTTCGTGGCTTGATAAACCTTGCCACGAGTTTGGCTCCCCGGTTTTTTCTTCAGGAGTTCCGCTTAGCAGCATTTTGCCTCAGGTTCAGATAGAAGCCATCCTTTGGGGTCTAGGAACAGCGTTGGGAGAACTTCCTCCTTACTTTATCTCAAGAGCTGGTAAAAGTTCCCTTTGCCCACCTTTTTTACTGATAACTCAAACTTGCTCGGTGTTTGTGGTTTTGTACCAACATAGATATCTTAGTGGAAGTTTCAAAACGAATTTCTGACACATGAACAGAGATAGAAACAGTTTAGCAGCAAGGTTGATGAATGATTTCTAATGCTCTGTCTCTGTGCAGCAAGTCTTTCCGGTGGCAAAATGGAAGAACTGGAAACATGTTCTGGTGACGGCAATGGATTTATTGCTAAACGTGTGAATCAGATCAAAGGCTGGTTATTGTCACATTCACAGTACCTCAACTTCTTCACAATTCTGATTCTTGCTTCGGTATGTTATCGTCTTCTGAGCAATTTAACGCTTCTTGCAGAGCTGGTCTCATTTTCTAATTCCGGAAAACTTATGATTCGCTTATTACAATTGCATTGTGCCTTACATTCAGGTCCCTAACCCATTATTCGACCTTGCTGGAATCATGTGTGGACAATTCGAGAAACCATTTTGGGAGTTTTTCCTTGCAACGTTGATTGGGAAGGCAATCATCAAGACGCATATACAGGTTCGTGAGCGTCCATGATACTTTTGTTCTGTGGCACTTTCGTTCTAACATCCTTCAAGGTTGATCTCAAGCTATTTGGTTATAATGCGTTTTTCTTTTGCAGACGGTTTTCATCATATGTGTCTGTAATAATCAGCTTCTTGACTGGGTAGAGAACGAGCTGATATATATTATGAGCTTTGTGCCCGGTCTTGCTTCTGCGTTGCCTGAGCTAACAGCTAAACTCCGCTTGATGAAAGAGAAGTACTTGGTTGCTTCACCTCCAGTAACTTCTGATATCAGTGTAACATATTCGTGTTTCTCTTTACCTAGATGATTACCTTTTTGCATTGTTCTGCATTTTGAGGTTTTTTTGATGATCGTTTGTTGGTTCAGGTCAAGAAATGGGATCTTTCTTTTGCATCGGTGTGGAACGGAGTCGTGTGGCTGATGCTTTTGAATTTCTTCGGCCAGATTGTGACTGCAACTGCACAAAGGTACCTCAAGAAGCAACAAGAACAAGAATTAGATGCCTTGGCCAAGAACAAGGACAAGAATTAGATGCCAGTCTCAAAGAAGTCTAACTAGTCCAGAGATCTATTGATCATTTCTAACTCTTTGGGTTTTCATTTTCCATAGAAACCATATGATTGTGTTTATTCTTATGTGAGACTCCTGACGTCATAACAAGAAGTGTTTTTCTTTCTGGTCCTAGTTGATTTGTAAGAGATACAGTTCATAATCACTTAAGTCATCAAAATAGATTTTTGTTTTCTTTTCTGAAGTACAAACCGTAAAAACAGAGTCTTCATTTGTTCAAAACTGAAACACAATCTTCATTTGTTCAAAAAAGGTAACACAATCTTCATTTGATACCTCTTGTTGAGCATGATCACACATGTATGAGTTTTGACACTACAACTCTTCTAAAGTTGAGTTACGGAGTTGAATATGGTGTTGTAAACTTTGACTCGCTTGTGAAATCGCTGCATTGTCATCTCCTTTCGGAGGTGAATCACATTTTCCATAAAATTGCATGAAGCTGTCGATGAAAATAACGAACTCGTAAGTGATACTATCGAATGACGTAGAGAGTCTCAAATACTCAAGTGTATGCAACATCAATTTGAAGTTCCGTGACATAGTGTTATGGTTTAGATATTTATGACCATATTCTAGCTTCAGTTTTCTTTTTCCATAGAAACCATATACAAGTGTGTTTCTTTTCATCTCAAAACAAAAGAGACCGTGTCTTGAAAGAAAATACATGTGGAAGCTGCTTTGGTCCAATGGGATTTGCCGAAAAATATGAGCTTCTTTATCGAGAAGAAACTTAGGATCTCAAAGTGGCCTTTGAATGTTCTCCAGATAGTCAAATTACTCGGATGTGGATTATTCTCACATTTAATTAATTTGTAGACAAAGTTATGTATAATGGCTTACAAGAATTTTACTTAAATATAGTTTCGTTTAAAAGACTAAATCAATTATTTATGAATTTTACTACAAAAAGTAACAAACGAAAGGGACAAATCAGAACTCATTACTGCAGAAACCGACAAAGAATAAAAGTCGAGAGAGTAACAAAAAAATCTGTTCATCTGTCTAAATTATTTTTCCCATGCGAATAAGACACAAAACCACAGTTAAACAAAAAGAAAACGACCCCGAAAATTATGCAAGAACGGCCAACTTAACTTAATTTTTTGAAAGAACAAAAAAAAAATACTTGGATCGAAGTCATAAACAAGCTTCCAAATAGAAAATGCCTAACCCAATTTACGTCATCTCACTTCAGAAATGTGATTTTGTATAAACCTTGATGCAATGCCGACAATTGCTACGAGACATATAACTCATTTTTCTATGCATATACTATATAGTGTATTTCTTCCTGAGGCTAAATAACAATATTATTTTGCATAAACCTTATATTATAACGCAATATTATGACATAAATTGCATATACACACAACCACTAGAAGACAGAAGAAAGTCCACCTTGACCTTTTCAATCAATTATAACATAATACATCTACTGAATTGACACATATTCCTAACAAATACTGAAACTATCTGAATAAATTAATGTCAAACCCATAACCTTTATGGCTTTATGTTTAAAGATGTATCTATCTATTTTGTGTTAAAGGAAAATGTATCTCTCTCAATTAACGTAGCTCAAAGCTTTCTTATTACGAGGTAATCCTCCATTGGAACGAACTCTAGGTCTCTAAATTCATTTAAGAAGTTCAAGTGTCTCTTTGTCTTTTTGATAAAATAAACGAAACAGCTTTAACTGTTTACACTTTCTTTTTTTCAATTTTTTACTACTAGAAGACTTGTCTTTTTTTTCATTCTTTCTAATGTTATCAATAGTTTTGTCAACGGTTTGCTTTTTTATTTTTATGATTAGGAAATAATGGGGTCACATGTAGGTGTACTTGTATCCTCTAACAAATAAAGAAACAACAGCAACATCGCATGTTCTCATTTGAATTCTCCCAATGAGCCATTCTCCGTCACGACCACGTTGTCTTTCTTTCTTTTTTTTTCAAATTAAGATTTACCCAAAGCGAAGACTTTTTTTTTTGCATGCTTATCCCGAAATGTGACCATGGTAATTATTATTAATTATGATCATCATCTGTTAAAAAGCTACTGAAGGTCGTAAAATTCAAAATAAACTTGATACAAAGCACTCAAAGTTCGAACGATAAAAAATAAATCAGAACAATTTAGACATTCAAAACCAAAAACCAATAGAAAATTGCTGAATAAATAAACAATTGATCAAAATTATTAGAAATACATTTGACGGAACTACGATGGTAGAAATAACAAGCAACGGCAAAAGTTATATACTACTTTCTTTCTTCAAGGGGTTGGATAGTTTCAAAAGTTAGAACCGTTGAGATAAAGACACGTGGCGGCGTCTAATCTGAGTAGAAACAATAGAGACAAGACCACCGAGTGGGGGCCGCATCTTTGACCTATAAGTCATCTCATCGTACGGTCTACGATAGAACTTAAGGAAAGGAACGAACGAGTCTCGGGGTTTCTCACTTTTGCTGACGTGTGACTCTCGCCGGAAGAAAACCGCCGGAGACTGGAAGAAAGACGGGCGGGGTAACCGTGGGTCCCGGAGGGTTCCGATAGAGTGACGATCTGTCGTCCTAGCTGGCATCGGAGTGGAGGCGAAAAAACTCCTTCTGGGCCCACCAAACGGCTCGCTCCTAGCCGCGGGTGACGCGAAGGAGAAAGAACGCGCGTTAAGCGGTGAGATGTACGCGCCTGTGAGTCCTACTTTGGATGATGACGTGTCGGTCAGCGTGAGGCACCATGGTTTGACCGTGTCGAGACCGTCGCGGGAGACGGTGAAGGCGAACCTAGAGGATGCGCAAGAGCCGATCTTGTCCGTTGATTTTATTGATGACGTGTCGAATCGGAGGGAGGAGACACGTGATGGGTAAGAAGAAGAGAAGTCGTCGTAGTCAAACGAGTCTTGGAAATCTAGCATCGATACAATCATCGTGGCCGTTGAAAGATCCACGAATGCACGAACACCCTACACGTCAGCGTAGAGGATCAGTATCTCTGACTTTCAACTTAGAAAGTGTCTCACTGTCAAACTCCCCAAAGTCTTAAGTTACGTTTAGATAGGTGAACTAACACTTTGACTTACGCACAAGTAAACTGAAATTGTCTATCATTTATTTTTAAAAATTGTTTCAAAATTCAATCGCACTCGAATTTACAGATAAATCTACCATTATACTATATGTTTGTATGGCAGTATAGTTTAATAATGACAAACTAAGTTACCTTCCAAAGGTACGAGAAAAGAGAAGGAGGGTCGATGACAAAAGTTTTGAAAAGACGACAAGGATAATACTCTGCAACTATTTTGAGTGTAGTCACAAGTATGTTCATGAAGGCTGATGCTGATTTGAAGAAGCCTGCGATTCCAAAAATGTGAGAGAAATATGTATTAGCTTATGATTTAAGTAACGGATATACAAAATATAAATTAAAAAGTTTTCGTTACAAAGACTATATATAGGTTTAAAAAATTATCCGACGTGACCCCGTAAATGTGAAAACAAAGCGTAGAAAAATTGTGTTTTTCCTCAGTTAATAAAAAATAAAACGACAGAAATAATATAAAAGGAAGGTGTACTGTTGAGCTGCAGAGGATCAAAAGAGGAACATTTAATGAAAAGCTAAATGGTACAATCAGAGTTGAGAAGTACTGCAACTGCTGTAGAAGCTTGACATAAGTAAATGCCAATAATACCCTCAATAATTGAGATTGTGACTCGTGCCTGACCGTGACTCAACAGGGACACTACGGACATTTTCAGATCGTTATCGTTCCCACTTTCCTGCCGGAGGTCCGACATGTTTCCGGTCCCCCATTTTTTACCAAAACTTCTTTTTGGTAAAATTGACATCTATGTTTTATATTCTCACTCACCGTGACAATATTTCCATTGACGATAACAAGACAAAATAAAAACAGTTGCCTATATTTTGAAAATTATCACTTTTTCCCTTTTTTAAAAAAAAAAAAAAAACTTTTTCCTATGTATAAGAAATGATAAATATTAGTTTCTATTTATACAGCAAAAGACAGAGAGAACTTACTAGCATCGAAAAGGATGACAAATTCTTCGACGTTCCTGGACATGGTTGAGATTGCCACCTCCAATGTAAATACCACCAAACGAATCAACCTATTTCAAAAAAAAAATATTAATAAGAAGACGAAATATAAGTCAAGTTTGTGGATATATATTTGCTTTTCTATGTTCAATAGTATGTATGGGTAATATATATACAGTAGTACTTACTGTTTCTGCGTATGTAACTTGTGATAATCTTGTTTAATGCGGAAAACCTTTTTAGAAAACAAAGCATTAATTTAGGCTTCTTGGAGTAAACAAATTCATCAAAAGAAGAAGAGAAACATTAGGTTTACCAAAACGGGTCTACACTCGTCGTCAAGACCAGCGACGTAGGCAAGACCTTCAGCAAGCTCCGGTGTGAACTCGTCGGCAATCAAGCTCTCTGTAACGATGATATAATAATATAATAAATTTTAAAAGATAAAGGTAAAAAACGGAATCTTGAAAGATTAAATAGAAGAGGCTAAAATAAGTGGGTGTCATAATGAGTGGATATTCACTTTAACGCTCGATGTTCAAACATGGGACACATCAAAACCCGAGAAAAGCAACGAAACGTCTGTTTTCTAAGTACACAAAAGAAATACAAATATCAAAACTATAACCACTACACCTAATAGATCATCTATACACTACACCATGCTTACTTTAAGCTTTATCCTCTCGTTTGATTATTCAAAAATTTTAGACCGTTTAATTAAATAAAGCTTTGGACTCTCTATAGATGTAATACACGAATATCGTGAAAATAAAAAACATACAAGAATATTTGAATATGCATATAAAAAAGGCTATCATGTCCACATATACATTATACGTCTCAAACACATATACAGATATGTCAAAGTTAAGAGAGAGAGAGAGAGAGAGAGA